TTTTTTTGGGGCCCGTCTTTGTGTTTGTGAGTTTTTTTTTTTTTTTTTTTTTTAAGACAGTCTACGTTTTATGCTTTCCTAAATTTGGGAGATTTCTACTGTATCTTTGGCTTTGGGTTTTGTACTCACAGCTTTACACACTGCCTGGCCTCCAGGCCTTTTTCTGAAATCCAGGTGGAAGTCTTTCTGACCCCACAACTCTTGCATTTTATATTATCTACAACCAGCACAACGTCTATGTCAAGGTCGGTTGCCAGCTGGAGCAGGAGCCAGGCGGGCTTATTTTGGCTGTAGGGTTCAAGTGCCTGTCTACTAAATCTTAAGGGAAACTTTTTTATTTTATTTTTTTGAGACAGAGTCTCTCTAGGCAGTTCAGGCTGTCCTTCACTCACTGTGTAGCCCAGGCTGGCCTCAAACTTGTAGTGATCCTCCTGCCTCAGCCTTCCAAGTGCTGGGATTATAGGTGTGTGCCACCATGCCCAGCATGTGGTATGACTTTTTTAGGCTGCTGTCATTTTGGAGCATGGTGCTCTGGGGTTCTCTCTTTAAACCAGTCTTTTACCTTTATAACTTTTTTTTTTAAGGTACTAGGTATTGTACTTGGGCCCTTGAGCTTACCAGGCAGGTGGCAAAATCACTCAGCTAAATCCCCAGCCCATACCTTTATAACTTTGAGGCTATAGAGGCTGGAGTCTTATTGGTTTCTACGATGGTTTTTGGCCATTTTTTGTTGTACTTTTTTGAAATATTTGGCTTTTTTGATGAGTCTTTTTAGTGACTAATTTTTCTACACTTGATCTTAGCCAAAAGGCTGAGATGCAATGTGACTAATTTTTTTTTTTGTTTTATCTTTGTAGGCTGCAACATTTTTGGAGCCTTTTTTTTTCTTCAAAACTTAAAATGTTTTAAATTATTTTGTTAGGCTCTTTGTTTTTGATTTTTAACATAAATCTTATTAAAAGCTTCCAACAGTAGCCATGACCCCACCTCAACATTAGACTGCTTTGAAAATTTTTTTTGCCAGATTCATTAGTCTGCCATCTTTAATCTTATTTTTAGGCAAAGTCTCTGGACATGAACAAAATGTAGACATTTTGCCAAGGCATAACACACATTGTCTGGAGTTTAATAGCCAATGTAGAACCTGGTCCTTTGGTGGGGGGCAGTTGAGACAGAGTCTCATTATGTAGTTGAGACTGATCTGGAACTCACTATGTAGCCCAGGCTGGTCTCAAATCACAGTGATCCTCCTGCCTCAGCCTCCTGAGTGCTGGGATTGCAGGTGTGAGCCACCACATCCAGTTTAACCTGGTCCTTATTGGCAGAATTTTTATTATCCTTCTGGTCTCTTGAGCTCTGACCAGAATCTCTTATTAAGTATAGCCTCAAGTGTTCTAGCTCTGTTTTTTTAGGCAGCATCCCTAAACCTTTGTTTTAACTTTTTTTTTTAAACAGCTTTAAAAGCTCTTAAACCACATGGTCAAAGTCACAGCAACAAAGCTGGGCATGGTGGCACATCCCTGTGATCCCAGCACTCAGGAGGCTGAGGCAGGAGGGTCACTGTGAGTTTGAGGCCAGCCTGAGCTACATAGCAAGATTCTGTCTCAAAAAAACAAAACAAAAACAAACAAAGTCACAGCAACAACCCCACTTCTGGTACCAAATTCTCTTAGTTGCTTTTCTTATTGCTGAGACAAAAAATCCAACATCCAAAGTTAAAGGAGGGAAGGTTTATTTATCTCACAGTGTATAGAGGTTCCAGTCCATAATCACCTGGCTCCAAGGCAGGGTGGCAAAGCAAAGGGGCATCATGAAAGAGAAACAGTTCATGGTGGGCAGAAAATAGCAAAGCAACAAGTGACAACCACAGCTCTTTCTATCCCTTATACCTCAGCTAGACTACTTAAGACAGGCAGCACTCACACCCTTAACCCCAGTGCCCTTGAGCCTACCACTGCACCATGAATCAATCCCAGTGTCACACACTCTAGATCCAGCCCCCTCTGAAGAAGCCCCACCTATGACCACACATCTAAACACAAGCCACACTCGCCTGTGTTCAGTGTGCAAGGCCATGATGGAACCAGAGATGACTGTAACTGGAAATCTCTCTTTCCATTCTGAAGAGGTGAAAACATAAATCAATGAACAAATTACATGCTTGGGGACAAGGCCACCAGAAATACGAAATTTGCTTGTTTTGCTTTCCCCCTTTAATTGGGTATCAGTCTAGAACTAAATTGTCCCGCAAAAGTCTCCTGTGTTCAGAGGTGGATCTTTGGAAGGCAACTGGATCTTGGGGAGCTGAAATCATCAGTGGATTCTCTGGTGACTTTATAGCTGAAGGTGCTGTTGAGGGGGTCTGGTCAGAAGAGGGACCTGGGGGACCTGGAAGGTGTGTTCTCGTCCCTGGCTCCTCCCTTCTTTCTCTGCTTCCTGGCTGCCATAGGGTAAGCAGCTTGTCTCTACCATGCTGTTTCTGCCCCAGAACAGCGAACCATGGGCCGATCCCTCTGAAACTGTGATGATGTGCCACGACCACTCCAGTGGAGTCTGCGTGACAATGCCGGTCACCTGGCAGAAACCAGACCAGAGGTATCGTCCCCACGGGGTTAAGCCTCCTGGAGGTCCTTGGCACACACCGTTGTGACCCTCAACCAGGTGGTCATAGTGGTCTCCAGTGTGGTGGTGCTGCTGCTGCCCTGCTGCCTGGTCTGTCTGTCTATGTCCACATTGTGACCACTATCATGAAGATTCACTCCACTCAGGGACGCCGCAAAGCCTTTGAGACCTGCGCCTCTCACCTCACTGTGGTCTCTATGTCTTATGGGATGGCCCTCTTCACCTACCTACACCCTCACTCCAGGGCCTCAGCTGAGCAGCACAAAGTGGTGGTGCTCTTTTATGCTGTGGTGACCCCCATGTTGAACCCTCTCATCTACAGCCTACGGAATAAGGACATGAAGGCTTGCCACGACCACTCCAGTGGAGTCTGCGTGACAATGCCGGTCACCTGGCAGAAACCAGACCAGAGGTATCGTCCCCACGGGGTTAAGCCTCCTGGAGGTCCTTGGCACACACCGCATGCGAAGTCAGCCGTGAAGAGAATAGCTGGCCTCTCTGCCTGCAGTTTGGGGACATTGGGTTCATTTATAATTCTGTTCTATTTTGTCTTTATTACTATTTGTCCATTATCTGTACAATTGTATTCTGGGCCCAGGAAAGGTTAGGAACAATTAGATGTTCCTAGAGATGGGGAGGTATTGAGGCACAAGAGGACAGGCGGCCAAAGTGCTGACCCTGAGCCCCGGACTGTGAAGTCCTGAAGGTGAACCTGAAGGTGACATGCTGAAGCCAGTCCTTTGTTTTACAAACTTCCCCTTCTGACTGCGTATAGGTGTGGTCTTACCTTGACTCAATGGTCTTAGCTTTTGTGATGGTATATAGGTGTGGTCTTACCTTGACCTTGTGGTCTTAGTTTTTACAGTACTATTGTCTATCTTTCTCATGCCTGCCTGTGCCTGAAATCACTCTTGAGGTGTGCCCTTGAAACTAGTATATAAACACCTAGAGTTAGAAATAAAATTGCAGCAGCATTTGCAAACTTCACCTCGGTGTTGAGTGCTTTTGTCTGACTGTCATCGCCGAACCTGCTCCCACCTTTCAGAGAACCTGTATCTCCTCGTGAAATCCCATGTTTGCTGCCCTACGGTTGGTAGCAATGATGCACATAAACCTGTCCACGTGCTGCAGGTGCTGGGAAGTTTGTCCCAAGGACTAGAAGGTGACCCGTGCCATTGGCTCCTCTCCTGACAAAAGAGGCTCCAACATCGGGCTAATCATGATTTATTCTTCAGACACAAACAAGGAGGACACACAGGTCTCACTGGCACTGGGTGATCAGCCTTGGTTGATAGCTGTGACTCCCCAGAGGCAGGGATCCTACAGCGATCTGCATCTGCAGCTGTGTAGATGCCAAAAGGTGTGCAGTATGTGCGCTTTCCTCCCTCCTACACATGTACACACATGCACACACGCGGACACACATACACTTGTGCTTAAAATGTTTTTTCCAAGTACTGAGTATTGAACCCCGAGGTGCTGTACCACTGAGCTACATCTCCAACCCTTTTTTGAGTTTTATTTTTAGACAAGTTTTCACTAAATCATTGAGTTACCCAGGGAGAGCCTGAACTTGCCACCCTTCTGCCTCAGCCTCCCAGAGTGCTGGGATTATAGGTGTGCACACCATGCCCAGCTGCCAGAAAGTATTTTAAGCTCAGTATATAGCTCGGTGGCAGAGCACACACTTATGTGCCGAGTTCTGGATTTTACTCCTGGTACCAAAACCAGAAAAAAATCAGATTTTCAAAGCGTGCTGTAAAGTCTTGCCTTCATTATAACATGGCTGGTTTTTATCTCTGCCAGGAACTCCACTTTGATAAATTCACTCTTCTCTCAGAAGCTTGCATGGGAGCTTCCAGCTCTGCACAGCCCAGCCAGTCCCAAGGCACACTGTGCTGGTGTCTTAGTCTCGGTCAGGAGCTGAACACAGACGGCAGTCACAGAGGGTGACGGGACACAGAGCCCTCAGTGACAGTGAGACATGCAGACCACAGGGTGTGGAGGTCTGGCAGGACACAGAGCTCTCCCTCCCATGTCCTGCAGAAAGAGTGCTGTGTGGACACTCGGGCAGGCCGGTGAAGACAGGAGGTCTGGAAGCTCTTTAGCACTGCTGTGTGGGCCAACAGAGGAACTGCCCCTAGGCAGGAAAGGACATTTCTCCTGTCTTTTATCAGCACCCCAACTGAGGGGACCACCTAATGATTTTTTAGGATAAAGTAAAAACAAAAGCTTTGCGTGTAAATGGAGCATAAATTTTCAATAAAACAACAAAGTTAAATACCTAATAGTTTCTCTAGTGTAAGAAACACTCGAAGTGTAAATAAGGTAGAATAGATACTGTGAAATAGGAAGAAAGGGACAAAGGGGAAGGGGAAATGGGAGGGGTAGGGGATGGAATTAATGTGAGAAAATGAAAAGTAATGGAAACAAAGTCTTGCAGATAGGGAGGGAGGGGGTTGAAGGGAGGACAGGGGAACAGGGAAAAAATAAGAACCAAGATTGACTATGTAAAGGTACAAATTTCCAACAATGAATGTCATTATATTGTATACATTAAATGTATCAATAAAATTAATTTTTAAAAAACAGCAAAGAGGCCGGGGATTTAGCTCAGTGGTGCTGTGCCTGCCTTGCAAGCGTGAGTTACTGAATTTGATACCTGGTACCAAAAAAAAAAGAAAAAAAAGAACAGCAAAGAAACATTTGCCCAAAAAGAGTTTTAAAACAAACTTTGTGAGCTGATGCAAGCAGCAGGAACCTAAAGCTCCAGCTACCCCCAGGCTGGGGTGGGCTGTCATCTCCAGGACCTCAGACTCCTGCAGGCAGGGAAATAAAATGAGCTATGAAAGACAGAGGCTGTGTCGGGAAGCCCATGGGGAATCTCTCTACCTTTCTCTTCTGCTGTGAGTCAAAACTACTCTTTTTAGAGTCTTTAGAAAAAGAACTAGAGGAGCACATGTGTGAGGCCCTGGGTTCCATCCCCAGCACCACAAAATAAGTACATAAGGTATGGTGGTGGCGGTGGCAGTGGTTATGCTGGGGTGGAGCCTCACCCCCCACCCTCAGAGGACCAGAACCCAGCGGGGTGGTCAGCTGGGATTGGAGCCCAGCAAAGCCAGAGAGGGCCTTCAGTGTCCTGTAGAGGAGAGGAGAGGTGGCTCTCACACCTACTGACTTTTTCTGGAAACCTTAGAGCTGGAGAACCTCCCCAGGGGACACGGAAAGCAGCCCGCTCCCAGTCACCAAGCACAGGTGGGGCACGTATGGTTAATGGGGCCCCAGGGCCGAGAGCCTCCAGACTCACAGGGCGGAAGCTCCTCTACCCAGCCCCTAAATGCTAGATATGAAGATGGAAACTGCTAGGACCCAAGACACCGAGTGACCTTCAGGCACTCGCCTCATCCTGGAGCTTGGGTTTCAGCCGACAGGAAGTGTGGATGTCGCCATGCAGCTTAGCTGTCTTCAGTCTGTCCTCAGAAGGGCGGGAGCTGGCCCCTGAGGTCAGGGCCCTGTGATGTCCCAGCCAGAAAGGGAAAGGAGATGGCTTTAACTTGGGAAGACCTTGCTCAGACGAAGTCTTCCTGCCTGTCCTTGGTTCTTTTTCTCCCTATAAGAGCTCTTTGCACCACAGTTTGCAAGATGGAGCTTAAGGATGATCGACTCTCCATCCTCTCAGCGCTGACCTTTGAATAGCCCTCATTGCCTTCCCAACAACTTGTCTCTTTTTTCTTTTTTTGTGGTACTGAGGACTGAGGCTTCAGGGCTCTCCACCACTGAGCCACACTCTCTGTGACCTCAGCCCTTTTTACTTTTTATTTTGATCCAAGGTCTAAGTTGCCTAGGCAGTATTCAAACGTGCAAATCCCCTGCCTGAGCTTTCTTCCCATACCAGTGCTTGTCTCCTGAATACAGGGGACTTAAGTTATGAACTCAGTTCATTCATGAGGGCAGGTTCTAACTCAAGTTAGTTGTTTGTTTTTGCAGTACCAGGGATCGAACTCAGGAACTTGCACTTATGAGGCAGACAGCAGAACCACTGAGTTAAATCCCCAGCCCTCAAGTTGGTTGTAAGTCAAGACTATTTTCCCCATTAAAAATAATGGAAATACCCATAATGCATTCTGAAACTTCCAAAGTACCCCTTAACTGACATTTTCATAATAAAGACCTGTATAATGTAATTCACCAGAAACACCAGTAATTTTCCTAGCGTATTCACCAAAGAGTTACAAAATGTGCGTAGTTTACCAGAAGCAACAATTTCATACTGTCCTCACCATTCAAGTGGACACCTTTGGCCTGCAGGAAGGGAGGGTGAATGAAAGGTGGTTACTGTTTGAAAGGAGAGTCCCCTCCCACAAGAACATGGGGAGTCTGGCTCATTCTGGCTTTCTCCTTTCTCTCCTTGGGAAAGTATGTTGCTCAGTAGGACCTGCTTCTGGCTCACTGTTTCTCAACCTTTTCAGAATTAAAACCTTGTCTAGGGTTGTGTGTTTCTGTCTTTTCTTTAACACTGTTCTACAGTACGACATGACATTGTCACTGAGTGAGTGAATGCAACCATTGGCTTTTTCTCTCTCTGGCTGGGCTTCTCTACAAATGTTTGCAGCTCTGTCCCTGTTTTCAGGATTTCCTTTGTTTCAGATGAACTTTGCTGCTCTGATTGTTGATGCTCCCCCTCCTTTTCAGAAAGCCCCTCAGCTGCCATTCTCTGTTGCTCAGCCAGAAGCTGCTGGAGTTCCTCTGTGGACAGCTCCTCTGAGTGTTTCTCCCCCAGCTCCTCAGCATCACCACTGTCTACCTGCAAATGCTGTGGACTCCATCACAGTGACAGTGTCATCAACCACAGAATCAATCGAAGGCTCAGGCTCCTCTCCACAGCCTTCAAAATCTCTTTCCCATACACAGGCAGAGCTCAGTGTCCTTAGAGAGACACTGGCCCAGAATTTCTCAATTAACCCCACAAAGAAAAGGGTGTTGTGATGTTCCTCCCAGAACTCTAAGATTAAATCTGTGTCTGAGACCATCTGGAAGCACTTCAGGAACAGTTCCTTGGTGTATAGCTTCTTAAAGTTAGCTCTAACCTGCTGGTCCATAGGCTGCAGTGGAGGAGATATATTAGGTGAGGGGAACTCGACTGAGAGCCATGGGAATTCTTCAGCCAATTCTTCCAAATCTCACGAGTGGGCAGGAGAGTTGTCCATGACAAGGAGAACCTTGAGTTGTAAACCCTTGTCCTCCAGATATTTCTTAATGGTAGGACAGAAAGGCACCCTGATCCACTCAAGAAAAATGTACTCTTGTTACCCAGGCTTTTGTGGTAGATCTCCACATGAGCCCCAGCCCATTCTTCATGACTTTGTTTTCTGAACACTCTAGGGGTCTCAGAGTGATAAACCAAGAGAGGCTTTATCTTGAGGTCACCATTCACAATGGCACATAGCAATAAGGTTAGCCTGTCCTTCACAGACTTGTGGCCTGGCATCTTCTCTTCCTAGGTAATGTGTCTTCTCCTGTGCATTTTCTCCCAGAAAAGGCCAGTTTCATCCTAGTTGAAAACTTTTTTTTTGGTACCAGGGATTGAACTTGGGTCCTTCCGCTTGCAAGGCACGCCGCCGAACCATTGAGCTAAATACCCAGCCCACAGTTGAAAACTTGATGAGAGCAAAAACCATTTCTCTGTGGCATCATTTTGAAGTGGTGTGTATAATTTTCAGCAGCCCTTTTATCAGCACTGGCTGCTTCACCATGCCTAGTTACACTATGAACCCCAGCTGTCACTTTAAAATTGTGAAACCACCCCTTACTGGCACAAAATGTTTCACAATTATTGCTCTTTATCCTTTACAAGATCTGCACTTATAGCCCTAGCTTTTTCACAAATTATAGACTCAGATAGTCTAACTTGCCATCTGCCTTTCATTTATCCACACTAATAATAGCCTTTCTACCTCACCTAACACTGTTGATCGTGACTTACTAATTTGAGTAACACCTTTAGCCACACTAGCTTCCTTATGCAAATCTTTTTGTTGAAATGCTGGATTTCTACATGCTGTACATATTAGTGAGACTGGGCACACAAACACCACTCTCATATTTCTCCACAATTTCCTTCTTCTTTTAGAGTGTGACTGCTTTCTTTACCTTCCCTTCCTTAGTTTCTTTTCTAGCTTTTCTGGGGCCATCTTGATAGCAGTAATAGTAGCAATTATATAAAGCACTGACCGAAATCACGTCCACAAACACATGCATCTGGGCTCAGACTGATGCTTAGGTATGCTCACATAAGATTTTCTGGCATCATGAGTCTTTGTTTACAACTACACAAGCAGCCAGCATTCAGGTCATAACTCAAGACTTTGGTTGTAAATTAAAATTAAAATTCTGGCTGTAACCCAATTTATATCATATGTGAGGCCAGTCATAACTTAAGGGTCCACTATACTGGTTTTGAGTGGTGAGCAGCCAGAACTTGGTCCAGAAACAGACTAGCAAGAGCAGGGATCAAGACAGTGGGGACACTCATGAGAGACAGCAGTGCTGGGCCAAAGCTGAAAAATGGCCAGCAGATCGTATCCCAGCCTCTGCCGATGAAGGACACAGCAAGGGCCAAGGGGAAGTGTCCTCTCCCACAGCCAGGGCCCCCTTACATGGACCTACCTTGGGACAGAGGCAGCTCCAAGTGAAAATGATTAAATTTTAAACCAGAAAAATCACTAGCATGTATGAAAACAAACAATATTGGAAAAACTACTGCAGTAGAAGCCTTCAAGTAAGCACCAGATGGACAACTTCTTCCTCCTCCCAAAAAGAGGTAAAACACAGGCAGATGGGTCCACATGATAAAGTGCTGGGAGGCTATTTCAAGCCTCTTGGAAACAAGCCACTACTTCTGATGATTTGTATCTGTGCTGAGAGTCTCCAGACAAGAAGGTAGAAGAGACCCTGACTTGACTGATCTTTTCACTAAGAACACGAGAGACCCCTCGGGCCCGTGGGCACACTCCCGCTTTATTGTCATCAGCTTACATAATGCCCACCAGGGTGCTCCTGAAGTCACTGATTTAGAGTTATCTTTACTCTTTGCCAGGCAAGGTCACTGCAACTTCTTCTCTGGAATACTCTGTCAGGGCAACTTGACCCTGTGTTCCTGGCTTAAGTCATGTATGTTTGGGTCAGAAAAAACTACCTAATTTTCCTTTAAAATGGAGTTGTTACTTTGCATCAGAACATGTCTAAGCTCTCCAAAGTAGGTGCAGTAGGGAGGAGGCAGGCAAGAGAGGGAAGCTCAGCTATGGGGAAATGAAGAGAGGTGTGTGTTATTCAACTGACTACAGATTGTGAAAGGCCATCTACGAGGCCTGTGCTGTTCGTTTCCACTGATGTCATGATAAAGAATTTCAGATGCATGGAATTTGAAGTACTGGACACTTACTTCAGAGGACTGAGGTCTTGCAGGGTAGAGCTTAACAGATCAAAGGTGACACCAATTACAGAAATACAGTTTCATAATCTCCAGGATTTACAAAGAATGTGGGATCCTGAGGAGTGACTGGAAGGCAAAGCAAAGAAGAAATCGTACAGAAATGCTATGCAGTTTTGAAAGCCAGTGCACCACCCTGGGAGTGCTCAGAATGTCTGCTCAGGGTAACACACAGCAGGGAGAGTCGTTAGAGCACTGCAGTAACCCTTTCCGAAACAGCCAAGAGTGACTCAGAGACTTTCCCAGAGTCAGAAAAGCCATCTCCAATCCTTTCAGTGGAAATGAATAAGACCTGAAATCATCTTGTGTCAAACATTTGTTAAACAGACAGCTCTCCTGGAACACAGCTGGCAAGGACTCCTGGAATCAGTCACTGTTAGGAGGTCTTGCGCGGGGCTGGGTAGAGTAAACATGGCACACACACTGGCTGTCTCCTGTCTGGCTTATTCTCGTAAAATTAAAATTCTGGTGGTGCACAGGCGATCCTGGCCACGCGGGACTGAGAGTGGGCAGCGGCACCAGCTTGCCCCCACTCCTGCAGAGCTGAATGCCCCGCACAGCCCCAAAGTCCTCTCGGCTGGGAAGAGCCCCAAGCAGCCTGTTGTCTGGAGTGCACAAAGCCCACTTCCTGCACTTGTCAGCCACCCCAGCTCCCCAAACAGCCCCACCATCCTGGCCCCTGCTCTGTTATTGGACTGAGGTCTGGCTGCTCACTGCTCAGAGGCCAACACTCAGCAATGTGGTTGCTCAGAGCCTGGGGGTTGGACATCCAAGATCAATGTGTGGGCAGGGCTGACTTCTCTGGAAGCCTCTAGGAGAAACCGTGGGCTTGTGAAGGCTGCCTCTCACTGTATCTGGACATAGCCTCTCCTCCGGTGTCTTTCTCTGTGTGCACAACCCCACAAGGCCCTATCATTTTAAACCAGGCCACCCTCACAACCCATTTAACTGATCAGCTCTCTAAAGACTCCTCTCCCAGTGCATCACACCGAGGTCAGGACCTCAGCACGTGAATTGGGGAGGCAAGGGGTCCAGCCGTAACAGCATTTTCTGCACCAAGGTAATAGGTGGCCGGGCATTCTCAGGCCACCCATAGGCCCTCTCTGGTGAGATGAAATCCAACACAAGCACATCCAGTGCCCAAGCCTGTGTGCCTTGGGCCTGGAGAATAAGAACAGGGTAACCGGGGAAGACGTGGGGCCAGGTGGAAAGAAAGATTTGCCAGTCAGTCTGCTTATTTATCCTTGGCTTTGCTCTGGAAAGGACATGGAGAGGAGGGGACTCCCAGAGGAACAGGACCACAGCGTCCACTCCGATGCTGTCCACCCTCTCTCCGCCCCTCTTGACTTCTTGGCCTTTGCCCTGCGCCTCACATGTGGCTCTATGACCAAGGCGCCAGCCAGGGCCTGAGTGGGACATTCAGGGCTGCACTGTGGGCTATGGGGGTCTGCATCCTGTGCAAAAGCTGATTTCCGTAGTCCACAATTAACAGAAACTTACTGGGTGCCGATTACATTCTGCAGTCTGCCGCTACCAGGCTGAACTGGCGCGTGAGGGGCAGTCTTTGGTTCCTTCTTGGTGCTGGGAGGGACCCAGGGCCCCTACATGCCCCTCGGGGACTCTGCCTGAGCTGAGGCCCCACTGGCCATCAGTAACAGCCCAGCATGCCCATATGAACCTGAGAACAGTCACAAAGGACATGGAACAGTCGAGGAAGAGAAAGAAAAGGTGATTTACAACTTGGACACAGCTAGGAAGAATTGAGGCTTATATTACAGCCTAGGAAAAGTGGGCGGTTTGCAAGCTTTAAACCAGTAGAAAAACACCCACAGTACACTGCCCCAGGATATTTGTCAGTTAGAGGAGGAAGTCATTAAAGCATTTTTGGCAGATGTTTAGGTAGGCTAAGACCCGTAATAAAATTTATCTAAAGACATAAAGAGCAGTGAGACATGGTCAGGGTCCAGGGGGGTGGAGGGCCGAAGAGAAATCTTGCTCTTCCCAACCTTGACCTTGAACAAAAACTGACCCTGAAGACCAAACACATTTCACTTTAAGGTGAAGCATTCAGAGCAGTCCTGAGTGTTTCTAAAAGCCCAGCTCTCTGCTCCGAACACGATGAAGAACACGAAGTGGGGTGAGGGCACCCCAGCAGGCCGGGTTTCCTCCTCTGAGTCTTGGGGAGGAGAAAGCTGGGGACGGGGAGCCCCGAAGCTCCCATCTGCTTCCCTGGTTCCTCCTGCCTTTGGTGGTCTTTCCCTCAGGGACACCTAGACTTTCTCCACACGTTGCTTCCACAACAAATGCTCAGCAAAGCTAAAATCATCACCAGGCCCCCGCAGCAAGCATCCCACCACGTCTTGCAAACTCCTGCTGTCCTCTCAGACCAAGAAGTGGCACTCCAGAACACATTTACGTGGCTCAGCAACTTTCCCAAGAGGCTAGGCAGAAGCTGAGCGGGTGTAAGCCTGTGATCTCAGACTTTGTAGGCTGAGGCAAGAGGATCGCGAGTCTGAGCCAGCCTGGGAAAGTTATCAAGATCTTGTCTCAAAATTAAAAGGGAGAGCTGGGGATTTAGCTCAGTGGTTCCAGCACCTGCCTCGAAAGCCTAAGGGCCTGAGTTCAATTCCCGGTAACCCCTCCAAAAAAAATTAAAAGGGAAAAGGGTCGGGGATGTATCTGTGTACAAAGGCCCTGGGTTCAATCCCCAGTAACAAAGGGAGGGGGAGCCGAGGGCATAGACATACCCAGAGGAGCCTGGTCCAGACCCTGTGGTCAGTAGGGCAGCACATCTGCGGGACGGCCAGCTCCACGACAGAAAGCAGCCGCCACACCCTGGATCCTCGTACGTCTGTCTTGGGTTTGAACAGTTTGTGACCCCAGGGCCTGTCACCAGAGTTCGCCTCCCTGCGTGGGGGATGCGCCCCAGCAGCCACAATCCTGCCTCCCTGCGCCCAGAAGGGAAGCTGGTGTCGCCCAGGACCCCGCCAGACCTCCCCTCCCCGCACCCCAGGACCCCGCCGGGACCTCCCACCTTGGATCCAAACCAGCGACCCCACAACGTACCTGTTACCCAGCAGGGGACCCTGCCCCCAAGTACCTGACTCTGGGTCCGCCCCCCCCTTCCGGGTCCGCTCCCGGACGCCGGTCCGGGGCTGGGCCGGGGGCGGAGCCTGCAGGTGGGGGCGGGACTTTACCGGTACCAGTTTGGGGTGGGAGGGGCCAAGGAGAGGCGTCAGATGGGGGCCGGCTTCCCGTGGAGGGCTTGGAAGACAAAGTTCGGCGCTGATTGGTGTTCAGGA